CATCACTGATGCTGCCATGATGGCAGAGGAGCTGAAGAAAGAGCAGGACACCAGCGCTCATCTGGAGCGAATGAAGAAGAACATGGAGCAAACCATCAAAGACCTGCAGCACCGCCTGGATGAAGCTGAGCAGATCGCCATGAAGGGAGGCAAGAAGCAGATTCAGAAGCTCGAGGCCAGGGTGGGTATAACACTTCAGTCTCTCCCTATAATCTCTTTGACTACAGCATCTATATATCAAATAAATAGCTGGTCTAAATTTAAGTGATGTTATCTGAATTTTGTTGTGGGATCTGAATTTTATAGGTCAAGGAACTTGAAAATGAGGTGGAAAATGAGCAGAAAAAGGCCAGCGATGCTGTGAAGGGAGTAAGAAAGTATGAAAGGCGTATCAAGGAGCTTACTTATCAGGTAACTTTAATTCTTAACCAGTTAGCTTGTCTGATGGAAATTATACTCAGAAACAAAACTGTGTAAAAATTTGTACTAATTAGACCGAAGAAGATCGCAAAAATCTCGCACGTCTTCAAGACTTGGTGGACAAGCTGCAGCTAAAGGTCAAGTCCTACAAGAAGGCTGCAGAGGAAGCTGTAAGTTATACAGATTTTAAATACCGCCCTTACATCTGACCACTGACTGAATATTTTCTTTACAAACAATATTGTGCTTCTATTCTACAGGAGGAACAGGCCAACAGTAATCTTACCAAGTTCCGCAAACTTCAACATGAGCTCGATGAAGCTGAGGAGCGAGCTGACATTGCCGAGTCTCAGGTCAACAAGCTGCGCGCCAAAAGCCGTGATGTGGGATCAAAGGTTTGTATGTGTACATGTTAAAAAAAAGTGTTAGTCCAGAATAGTAGGACTCTTAGCATCCTGCTGACAGATCACCAACACAAAGTCTAGCTTTTTATCTCAAGGATCATTGACAAAAATAAAAGCGAAAGCATGCATTGTAGTCTCACTGCAGAATCACTGTAGAGTGAGCATTGACTGTTTTCACTTCATTTACAATCCAGCTCTTCTTTTCAAATCAAAAAATGATCACTAATGATCCTCTTTTCCCCTCTTTCTTGTTTCAGAAAGGACTTGATGAAGAATGAAGTTCACCTTGAAATGATCATTTCTGAGACACCTCTTGGTCCTGCAATGAAGTCTCCCTATGCATGTGTTTTTGTTTAGTAGAATAAAGTTAATGAGCATCTCAAACAGTGTTGTGAGTTTCATTGATAAAAGTGTTTGCTGTTTATACTGGTGAGAACCAAACTTGATTTTACAAAACAAAAAAATATAAAATTTGAACCAAACTAGTAGAAAAATAAGATCAAAATTAACTAAAAGGATAGCAACAAAGATAAAGTAAAAGTGTTATGTTTTAAATGTCTATTACTGGTATTAAAGAATTGCATTATAAGGAATGTATCGGTAATTTGACTGAATTTCCCCATAGATATAGTAATATGTAGTTTTCCCTCTCACACTTCTTTCCAATGAAAGGAGGGAACAAGTTGTCAGTTGTACTTACTGTGATTTCAGACAAAATCACAAAAACTAATACATTACAATAAAAAAAGCATTTTGGTATTCAATATAGTAGAGAATACAAAATTCGAAACCATGGTCACTAAATCAATTTCTTTGAGCTTTTAGAAATAAAAAATGTGTTGCAGAAAACTATGTGTAGCTTATAAATGACAAAGTCGTTCCCATTGGGACTATTATTAATTCAATTCAATTTTATTTATATAGTTCCAAATCACAACACCAGTCGCCTCAAGGCGCTTTATTTTGTAAGGTAGACAACGGTATTATTACTAGGCAGCTTTTATACCTCATTCATCAGAAGTCAGTCAAACATCAAATGACCACCAGATGGCGCTCACAGATCCATTTCTTATAGTTTGATAATGGAACTTACTCTACATGTTACATGATAAGAAGAGTTTGCTTTGTCATTTTCTTTAAAATTTCAGTCATTTTATATGTTTTATATTTCCCTGTAGCATGACATCTAACATTTTTTTAAATGTTTTTTGGGTGTTCTGGATTTAAATGAGATTAAAATAGGTTACAATGGTATTGAAGAAGACTTTAAAAGAATAATTAGTGACATGTGAAGAGAGGACTGCAGAATTCAGGTTGATTGATTCAAATAAGAAAATAAATAAATTTTTTTTGTATAACACTTACTTAAATGACACTACCAACTAGAAAATGCAGAAGAATTTTATGAATGTAGTCTTGAACTATTATTATTATTATTATTACTCTAGGAAGCTACTAAGAACAATATGCTTATGTACAGAACTGTAAATGACACAGTGCTTGATAAGTGAGACATTTCTACTCCACATGCACCCACAATAGATAATTAACAAAACAAGCTCACAGACTACTCTTTTTGCATAAATATGAGCCATCTTCTCACTACTTCTTTCGGGTAGAGAAAACTGGACATCATCCAGAGACACAACCATTTATTTCTGACTATTTCTTTCCATTTTGATATGACTAAAGGCTAACATACTGAAAAACTAAACTATAAAAGTGAAAACTACTAACCTTCACATCAGTAGTAGCGCCCATTCTTTCTTTTAACAAGCACTCTCTTTTTGGAGCCAGACTGGGGAGGGCCATTTGGAGCACAGGATACAAGCAGACTTGACAGACTGGCAATCTGGTCTTGGTGTGTCCTCCAACAGGAAATAGTACATTAACAATATGAGCATATTAGGTCTAAAAGAAATGTTTTCTATTTTTGCCATTTCCGCAATTAGGAATGAGAAGTTCTGCATAAAGTAAAACAAAAAGTTGATAATAAAATCTTTAAATGGCCAACATTACCTTTTCAATATTTCATGAGAGGATCTCTTGGTCACTACCTCATCTGAAGACAAGCAGTACTCTGGACTTGATTCTATAGAGAGGTCCATAGTCTGAATGAGTGAGAAGAGGACAAGGGAGGAGAACAATCAACTCTTGTAAGCCTGTGTTAAAGTTCAACACCACTTAGAAGTGACCTTTCACAGTAACATAGGACAAATTCTGCCAATAGCTTTGCTGGATCTAGTTTCACACTTAAGTGAGGCAAGGTGCCTCACACCTTCTTTTGTGTGCTCATGTGATCATAAAAGTCAAAGACACAAAGACCGTGGACAGCTGGGAATGAGACCTTAAATGGCCGGAAGAGTACTCTCCTAGAGCCTGGAATAGACAGAGGATAAGTAAAGGAGAAGGAAATGGGATCTGATAGAAAGTCACATAATTGAGGTTGTAGAAGGATTTAATTTGTGCCAGACCTTCATCAGACCTTCATCAAACAAACAAACAAAAAAAAAAAAAACAGCAAACAAACAAAGAAAAGAAACTGATGAGAAACTTTGAAAGCTGATTTTCCCTCCTTGTCTTGTTTTAGAGGTTTCATTTGTAACGCATACAGGTTTATTTGTTCATGCATTTTGCACTGAACGTAGATTAATTATAGTATATTGCTTTATATAAATGATATATTATCCCATAATACGCTAGCTATAGTATATATAGCATATTGTTATGTTCCCTTGAGGTTATCACCTGTTGCTGCTGGTCAAAGAAGAAATACAAACCAATCTCAACTACTTGCGTCACAAGCTGTCCCCAAGCTATACTCTGAACCGCCAAGCCCTCAAAGGCAGCCAACAGGAATTTCACAAGTTATCTTTGTGCTCAAGGATAAAGGGAAGAAAACAATTCCATGTCAACAGAAGCCAGCCAAGGGCACTAGCTGCATGTCACATCTGATAGCAGGTTGAAGTATATAGCTACATAGTCAGGGGTCATTTGTGCCCTCTCGTCTTTTGTTCTAGTGGCAAAAAGTCATTTATTTAATAGAAAACTAAATGAAATAAAAGGTTTGCTTCATCTGGAGAAAGACAAAAATAATTTGCATTCTTGTGAGAAGAGTTATGACCTCTAAAATTATGAACACTTTGCATGTAGAGCTCTTAATTTATGTTGGGCTAAAACTTTTTGCAAAATGAATCAATCAATACAAAAATGACATTAAACGTTCACATCTGTGTGTATTTCCTTATATCTCTGTCTCTTTATCATAGAGACAGAGTTGAAACACAATATGAATAATTTTACAATAACAATAATAATAATATAACAACAATAACCAACAAATAAAGTCCAGCATCAGGAAAACTCTCACTGCTCTTCCACCAGAAATCATTTTGTCTATTAAAACTGAGTAGAGGAAAGGGGAAGGCAACGTTATTGGTAAGACCCAAGAGATGTACATGCAAGTACAACAAATACCCATTTTATATACTATTGTGCTATTGATCTGCTGAACGGACCAAGATTTTTCTTCTCTGTACAGAAACAGCTGATGACGAGTTACAGTAACATAGAACATACACACATGTATTACATGTGACACACTATTAGGGAGCTCATGCACCTTGATCAATTAAATATGACTTACTGCAAATTTTAGCATAGCAACACAATTATACTACTCATATTGCTGAGTGAAGACCCCACAAACACAACACATGAAAGTTGCAGTGAACCATTTATATGCTTGCTTGAACTGCAGAAAGATAACAGAAGCTAAATGAAGAATCATATTACAGATGCTCTTTAGTAAAATAGAGGAGTTATAATTTTGTTAATATTAATTTGGTACAAAACTTACAGCCCTTTGATTCCCTTTTTTCATGAAACATGAACTTGGGTTGGATTGCATTGCATCTGAACACATCTATTGTTGGTAAAGAAAAGTAAAGAATGCAGAGTGACCAGGGTTAGACTAAGGGTGTAGATCTAATTGAGAACAGTGGTGAGTGATAATAAAGGGACTTCACAGCTGTGACCTTGGCCTTGTCTTGCCTCTTTGTAGACAACAGCTGCTCTTTATTCTTCCTCCTGAAATGTATTTTACACCCTATTGCTTTACACACTATTGTTGAACTTTAGATGTCAAGACGCTTAAAGTGACACAAATCCTAGCCTACTTTATTCATATGTTGAACAGACGACAGAGTGCAAAAGTCTATGACATGGTGGCTCTACCTTCTAATTAACAAATATCCTTTTTTTTTTCATCCCAAAAAAAATCTGCCTAATTATTGTTCCCTAAAATAGAAACCCTGGTTAACATATCTGAATCTCTATCTCATGGTGTTTTGGCTTACCATTTGTTTTAAACCTACTTACAAATAATTAATTACATACTGATACTTAGAATTAGACAGACAGACGATGATAGATAGATAGATAGATAGATAGATAGATAGATAGATAGATAGATAGATAGATAGATAGATAGATAGATAGATAGATAGATAGATAGATAGATAGA